TTCTCTTTCTCTCTCTCTCTCTCTCTCGCTCTTTCTCTCTACGCGCTACGCCGAGACAGATACCTCCCACGCCAAGCGCGCTCATGAATGCTCAACTTCCGCTCTGTCCGTCTTCTGTAAGGTCACACCTATCCCAGAACATCAGGGGATACATGCGGCACGCGCAGGAGATCGACCTGCTCGGTGCTTGTCCGTTATGAAAGAGCGCAGTCTTCACAAGGTAGTAGTTGCGCGTATGTTTGCCATTCTGGCAATATCTCCAACGCTTTCCCATCCCGAAAGAGCGAATTCAACTTCTGACGCAATGCGAATTGTTCCGCTGGAAACAAAATGGTGCCGCAATTCATCCGCAGAGAAACAACGGCCAGCATGGTTCCAGATAGTGTCGACGGTGCCGTCCACAGTTCGTCCGCTGCGCCTCCGCATCCTCTCTTCTATGACAAACCCTTCAACGACTGTGCCTTCGATCGCTAATAATCCACAAGGAACCCCCGCGGGGAAATCGTGCCGGCCCCTTTCCCTCAATTTCCTCATCCTTCTCCACCGAAAAGCAAACATTCTAGTACTCTCTAGTGGGCACCCCCCTGCCGTGCACATTGTTTGCAAAACGCTCTTCGTGACTCCTTCGTTGGTCGCTGTATGTGTGAAACATCGCAAAATCCGCCGACCCTGTCGGCGTGTGTGAGGGGTTTTTCCGTTCGACTCGTCGTTTCCGTCGTCTCTGTCTTCCCCCTCCCAGGGCTCTCCTTCTCAAGCGCGCTATCCAAAGCGAAATTAAACGACGCCGTGGTGGAGTCGAAGGGAAGCCCCTTCCCTGTGATCCCTTCCCCGCCGGGGGGGGGGGGGGGGGGTGGGGGGGGGGGCCGGGGCAGATACGACGCCCGCCGGGGCGCACTTTCCTCGAGCCGGCACGCACGGGATGCATTTCCTCCTCCTCCTGGTCGTCCTCCTCCTCGTTTTCCTCCTCGTCCTCCTCCTCCTCCTCCTCCTCCTCCTGCCCCTCTCCTCCTTCTTCTCCTCCTCCTCCTCCTCCTCCTCCTCCTCCTCCTCCTCCTCCTCCTCCTCCTCCCGCAGGAGGCGACCCGGGAGCGGACCCGAGTCAAAATACCACCCCCCTGGGGCGCATTATCCTCGAGCGGGCACGCCCGAGATGCACTTTTTCCTCTTCCGGGAGCACGTCCCAAGTCAGAATATCACACTCCCGGGGCGCACTTTCTTCGAGCGGGCACACATGGGATGCAGTTCCTCCTCCCCCTCCTCCTCCTCCTCCCCCTCCTCCTCTTCTTCCTCCTCCTCCTCCCCTCCTCCTCCTCCTCCTCCTCCTCCTCCTCCCTCCTCCTCCTTCTCCGCCTCCTCCTCCTCCTCCTCCTCCTCCTCCATCATCATCATCATCATCCTCATCCTCTCCTCATCCTCATCCTCATCCTCCTCATCCTCATCCTCATCCTCATCATCATCATCATCATCATCATCATCATCATCATCATCATCATCATCATCATAATCATCATCATCATCATCATCATCATCTTCCGCTTCCTCCCCCCGTTCCTAGCCCTTTCGATCAGGGTCGGCGGCACCGGCCGCCAGGCCTTTCCAATCGTTGGTTTCCGGGCCATCATTTAAAAGCATGGGTTTCCGAATTTGTTCATCGGAGCCAGTCGGTGGCCTCTGAACCTCGGGGCCTCCACCTTCCCAGACCTTTGCCCTCCGCCGGCGAACAAACGAGTCGATCTCCTGGGACAACCTTTCCAGAAACTTGGGTTGGCCGCCGTATTTTCAGACCTCCTTCTCGTCCGTCCCCTCGCGGGGGTCCAAAAGATTTCGCGGTCCATCATCGGCAGCAGCCAATGACCTCCGAACCTCGGGGCCTCCATCTTCCCTCGTTGTCGCCTGCTTTCATCTGCCCTGCGGCAGCGTCTCAACCTCGGGGCTTCAATTTTCCTTCTAGGCTTCGTCGTTCAACTTATCTCGCCGACGGGCAAGCGAATGCAGAGCTGGGCCACTGGGGTTCCATTGACGCACTGGATATTCCATCTCCAGCGCCATCTCTTCCAACAAAAATCGTATGTTTTTTGTCACTCCTCATTTGCTTCAAGGTCGGACTCCTGATGCAGCTGTTCCAAACACTCTGAATGGTGCATAGTTTTTCGATGTTCATCATTGGCACCATCAGGTTGCCTCCGATACTCGGGGCCTCCATGTTCCCTCTGGTAACTGCTGTCCAGCGGCGGCACTTGGTCAACCAAGTGTTCGCAAATGGCAACCCTGGCAATCAAGCATTTCCGACCATGTGCACGGCGGGTCCATTCTCTGCGATTTTGGCATGTCGGTTCTTTTTTTCTTTCAAGGTCACACTCCAATCCTCCACAGGCATGTGGAAAATTGCGGCGCAAGCACAGTTCCGTCACCAGCTTACGACCCTGTTACGCGAGAAGGTTTCTCAGAAAGTACGGTATCGGAGTGGCTGCAGGGATTGTTTCTTCTCTCCGTTCCTCCTCCCCCCTATTCCCTCTCGCCCGCCCGACCGAAATTGGAGAATGTACGGGGCGGAGGTCGTGTGAGTGAGTTTCAGCGAAAGTCCCCACTCCGTCGGAGCTCAAATTGCCTGGGCCTCCAACGCCGACGAGGACGAGGAGGAGGAATAGGAGGAGGAGCAAGAGCAGGAGCAGGAGGAGGAGGAGGAGGAGAAGGAAAAGAAGGAGGAGAGGGGCAGGAGGAGGAGGAGGAGGAGGAGGAGGAACAGGAGAATGAGGAGGAGCAGGAAGAGAAGGAGGAAGCCCCTTCCCGGAAGGCCCCCCCCCCCTCGCGCCACCCCCTGCTGGTGCCCGCCGCCGACCCCGCCCCCCCCCCACCGCAGGCACCCACGACGAGTGCTACTGCTCTCCATCCCCAGGCCCTGTCCGAGCGGGGCCGCGGCACAGGACGGCGTTACGGCAGGTTCGTGTCGTGCCGACCCCAGCGTTGGTTTTTGACACCGCAGGGATCGTTCGTTGAGGGGCAACGAGCGGGGGGGACACGCACAAGGGGGGGCGGAATCGACTTTGGACTCGGCGATGCATCGCCGATACACCAGCGATCGGCCCCCGACAGTGACTCCGCATGCTCCTGGGCAGGTTGGGGCCATCGGGCCCCTGTCGGCGATCCGTGGGCGCGGGGGGTCGATGCACCCCCCACGATGCCCATCCCCCCTATCGTTGCCCCTGATACGTGACGTTTTCCCAAATAGTGTCTGCACTCAGGGTCTAGCACTTGTCCCCCTTAGGAGTTGATTGGGCCTGGCGATGGCTTTCCACGCTTGCTGCCCGTTGCCGCCTTGTTCACCCCGTTTTGCTGTGGGTGGGTCCGGCGAGGTTTCGCCACGTTGCCGCCCAGTGCCGCTTCGTTGCCGCCTCTAGCTTGCACCAGTTATACCGCGCCACAGAATGTTCACCATATAACCATGTAGGTTGCACCATGTCGCCAACCCACCCAAAGTGCAACAAAAACATTATGAATGAGGTCAACGCAGGCTAAGATGTTGATATGATTGATCCCCTCATGGCGTCGTGGATCTTTCAGGACGGTGATCCCGCTGCAGCGTTGGCCCCGTTTCACGATCAGCGCTTTGGTACTGTCGTTCTGAATGGCTGCGGGGGGCCGGGGGGGCAGGGCAAGGGGAGGAGGGCGGGAGAAGGCCATAGAACAGTCTGCTACGGCGCAGCACCAGCGAGCAGGCCGTCGTCGTCGTCGTCGTCGTCGTCGTCGTCATCGCATTGTTGTCGTGTTTCCTCCGCGAGTGCACGCGGAGCCCCAGCTCGGACGCACTGAACGGGGGGCGCTCGGCATCGCTGCAACTGGCCGCATGCCGCTGCGCGTCGGCCCTGCTGGAGCAGACCCTGCTGCAACCGTAATGGGGGCAGCACACCTGAGGGGCAACGTTAGCTAGGGGTGGGGCAGCTCATGGGGGGAGCACTTGGTCTCGGCGCCTGTAGGACCCCATCGACTGGCGAAGTATTGCGGAGCACATTGCAAGCCACGATGATGAGGACGATTGCCATTGGAATCCTGTAGCATAATTAGTCCCACCAGCCCTCTGGGCGTAGGTGGTCTAGAACAGATCCTCTTCCACCCCTCCCTCTTCCCCCTTGGGGAGGGGTTTACCCCTCCCCCTACCCCCTCCCCTGGACCTGGACGGGGGGGGCCGCGGGTAGTTAGAGCGTCCCAGATGGCCCAAGACGGCTCCAAGAGCGCCTCAGAGAACCCAAGATGAGCTCCAAGATGGCTCAAGATAGCGCAAGATCGCTCGAGATGGCTCCTAAGATGGTTCCAAGAAGCCCAAAGACGGCCCCAAGATAACTCCAAGTGGCCAAACAGCTCCCCAAGGAGGCCCCGAAGAGGCCAAAATCGTCCCAAAACCTAAGGAAAATCAATGATTTTTGCTTTCTCGCCTTTTCGCTTCCGATGGCCATCCGAGGCCTGGAGATGGTTCCAAGATGGCCCAAGAGGGCCCCAAGAGAGCCCCAAAAGAGCCCCAAGACGGCCCCAAGAGCGCCCAAGAGCACTCCAAGAGCGTTCCAAGAGGGGTCCAAGAGGCGATTTTAGGGGCTTCCGAGGGGGGGCGCTAATTAAACCCCCCCTCTTGTTTGATCGATCTCCTCCAAGATGGCCCCAAGAAGCGCCCAGGAAGCCCCAAGAGGTCCCAAGATGGCCCCAAAATGGCCCCAAGAGGCCCCCAAGAGGCCCCCCGGAGGCCCCCAAGAGACCCCCAAGAGGCCCCAAGAGCCCCCCCAGATGCACCCAAGATGCTCCAAGAGGCCTCGGCGAGAATGCCTAATCATTGATTCTACACAGGTTTTAGCCACATGGAGGCCTCTTGGGGGGGGGCACGGATTAAGATGACTCCAAGAGCGTCTGGGAGAGCCCAAAATGACCTCCAAGATGGCTCAAGATATCCCAAGATGTCTCATAATGGCTTCCTCTGTGTGCTGCCCACTTCTCTGATCGAGGCAATTCCTCTGGGCATCGTTTCTGGATGGGCTGGTGGGGATTCGCGAAGCGACAACAATTACATATGCGACATGCCTTGCCCGGTGCCTTGGCGTGAGAGGAGGGAAGCATACAACCTGAATCGGGAGCTGGGGGTGGAAACACACCCCCCTAAGCTTGCTTCGACGTTACCCCTGAACACCGGCTCCGCCTCCCATGCACGCGCAACGCCTGCTTCGAGCGCCGCCGACTCCGCCGCCGCGACCGCCGCCCGAGCTGCGGTCGCCGCGAGGGCGGCGGGCAACTGCGCGGGGCACGCCAGGAAGTGCCGCACCAACAGGCCGTCCACCTGCCATGGAGCACAGCACAGCTGGTGCGCCTCCAGCCTAGAGAAGCCAAAAGGCACTGATACCGCTGCTATGCTAGAAAGCAATTCCTGGGAGGTCTTCGCACGAACGTTGAAGGAAGCCCGATTGAGAGGCGAGTCAGCCAGATTGAGCCAAATTGGGCCCAATATAAATCCGATAGAATAAACATAATCATTTGGGATTAAGCCGTGTTGAGCCAGATTAGGCGAGACTTGTCTGGATTAGCCCGGTGTTCCACCACGAATATACCAGCACCGATGCTGAGTTAAATCTCCCATGAGTTGCATCCGAAACCACTCCAGGCGACCCTGGAAGGCGAGAACGAGGCAAGGACAGCGGCATCGGTACCTTGTCCTCCCCCCACAGCCGGGCCCCCTGCCGCGGGCCCGGCGGCACCCGGAAGCCGCACAGCTCGCAGCACCGAGCGAGCGGGCAGCGCGCCGTGTGCCGCAGCAGCTGCGCCGCCTCGAAGGCGGCGGCGGGGCACACGGCCGCGAGCGCACAGGCGCCAGGGCAGCCCAGCCACGCGAGGCAGCGCTGCACTGGCAGCTCCAGCGGCGCCCCCTCTCGACAGGGCGCCGGCGCCGGCAGCCACAGCCTGGCGGGCACGGCGCGCGCGCCCGCCGCGGCGTCCAGCTCGGCGGTGGCGCGGAGGCGCTCGGCGTCCAGCTGCGCCAGGAAGCGCGAGGCGCGCTGCCGCAGCGCGTGCTCGGAGTCGAGGCGCTGCTCCTGGAGGGAGGCGCGGCGCCGTGCGCACTTCTCTTTGGCCTGCGGCGAGCGGGGTCCAACCAACGCGGCGGGGCGCATCCGTAGCGAATTACGGCGAGAGCACAGGCGGGCCAAGAAGGGGATGAGGGAACGGGACGGCGTACGCACAAACTTTCGGAACTCCGCGCGGGCTTCTTGGCTGCGCTGGGACGCCGGCGGCGCCAGAAGCGCCGCCCCTGGGGGGCCCCAGCGCCGATCCGGGAAATCTGGGGGAACAGAGAGGTACCAGTATCGTTACTCCCTGGACCTCTCCTGGGGTGCGACCTGAACTGGATGTCGAGGAGAATCTAGCCATGGTGGCGAGGGATCTCTGGGATGAGTAGCGGTATCGTCAGGTCGGGCAGGCCCTGCTACAGGCGCACTTTGGACGAAAAATAAGCAATAGCAAATTATCCCAGTTCGACCCTACCTAGGAGTTGGAGCATTTAGGACAGCAAAATCTACATCTACAACGACAGCTCATTTACATATACACCTGCATCTACATCTACATCTACAAGAGCTGCAAGCTGTTCAGCACTGCAGGTCCGGCTTTGCGTTGCTTGTGTGTCGTTTTGCTGTTGCTGCTGATGCGTTGCCGTTGCTTTGCTGATATGCTATGCTATGATATGCTATGCTGCGCTATGCTATGCTATGCTATGCTTTGCTATACTACGCTATGCTGCGCTATGATATGCTATGGTATGCTAGGGTAAGCTCGGCTGCGCCGTGTTTTGATAGGCTAAGTTATGCTATGGTATGCTGCGATATGCTATGATATGATATGATATGATGCAATATGTTATGTTATGCTAGGCGATGCTATGCTATACTACGCTGCGCTAGGCTGTGTTATGCTATGCTATGATATGCTGCGCTATGATATGCTATGCTACGCTATGATATGATATGATGTGATGTGCTATGATATGCTATGCTGCGCGGTGCTATGATAAGCAATGATATGCTATGCTATGCTGAGCTGTGCTATGCTATGGTATGACTGGCTATGCTATGCTAAGATATGCTGTGCTAATGATGTGCTATGCTATGTTATGCTATGCTTGGCTATGATATGCTATGCTATGTTGTGCTAATGCTGCGCTTCGCTTTGCTGCGCTGCGCTAAGCTATGCTAAGCTAAGCTAGGCTAGGCTAGGCTAGGCTAGGCTAGGCTAAGCTAAGCTAAGCTAAGCTAAGGTAAGCCAAGCCAAGCCAAGCCAAGTAAAGCTAAGCAGATATAAGCTAAGCTGAACTAAACTAGGCAAAGCTAAGCTAAGTTAGGCTAGGCGAAGCAAAGCTAAGCTAAGCTAAGATGAGATAAGCTAAGCTAAGCTAAGCTTAGCTAAGCTTAGCTCAGCTTAGCTAAGCTAATCTGGGTGAACCCAGGGGGCGTAACTGGGGGAACCGCGGGGAGGATACTGGGGGAACCGCCCGTGGGGGGGTGCACTGCCCGGCCCCTTTAAGAAAGAGAGTAAGAACCCTCTAGGCAGAGCCTAGGTAGGGAACAAATGCTCAAACATAGTCAAACATAGTCAAAAAAACGTCCCCAAACTATAATTTGACCATTTTTGAGGACATGCCCGATTTAACGGTATCGGTGTCTTTCCCTCCCCTGGAACTCCGCGCGGAACTCGGACATCTTACAGGGCAGTTTTCAATACATAGAATATTTAAACGTATAGGATTTTTAATATATGATAAATGCATGCATGAACTCCTCGTTCTTTCTAATACTAAACCCCTGCACTTTTAATACCTGATCCGCACGCGGAGCATGCATTAAAAACGGCACTGTATGGCTGTGCCTGCTATTCGCCCTCGACCCTCGGAGCCGAGGGCGCTGCTCCTGGAGCCGCTCGCGCAGCGCCCGCGCGCCGAGCTCCTGCGCCTCGAACGCCTCCCGGATCTGCCCCAGCGTGCGGCCAGCGCGCGGCGGCTCCGGGGTCGGGCAGCGGTGGGGGGGAGAGCCAGCTCCGGGGGGGAACGTCGACCTGGACTCGTCGATGCATCGCCGATCGATCGGCGAGAGGCCCCTGAAGGCGAATCGGCAAGGTCCTGGGCACGTTGGAGACTCTCGAGCCCCCGTCGGCGATCCGTGGGCGACTCGGGGTCGATGCATCCCCCCCTGAGCCCACGCCCCCCCGACGCTGCCCGTGATGGGGTCAGGGCAAACACCCGAGGACCTCCAGTCAGGCTCCCGTCAAGGTGGGCGAGCCACCGCATCGCGCCCTCGTGCTGGCCACGGATGCGGAAGACCGCGGCGTCGTAGCGCAATGCCGTCGACTTCTGGAGTTCCCTGATGTCGGCTCGCAGTCGCTGCTGGAGCTGCGCAAAGCTCTCGTCGAGCACCCAAATTGCCTGCCTCGCCTCATCGGCGGCGCGAAGATGATCCGCGCTTCCCCGCTGAAGATCGGATGAGCTGATGCGCGCTGCTCTTGTGGCAAAGACGGAATCATAAAAGCTGCCGATGAAGAACAGCGCGGTAGCCAACACACAGACGGCGTGCAGCGCGTGCACGGTCTGCTTCGTGCCCGCGAAGCTGCCAGCGCGCGACAACCCCGAGGCGCGCCATGGCCCAAGAGCGAGGTAGGCAGCGAGAGCGAGGAGGGCACGCACTAAGCAGCGGAGCGAGCGTTCTCGCGCGGACCAGGCCCTCTCGCCGGCGTCGGCGACGGCGCACCGTGCGGCCTCACAGGCTTGCGCGCAGCGTACAGCGGTCGCAGAGTGCTCATGATGGTGCAGGAGCACCTGGTCCCAACATAGGTCGTCTAAGCGCTTCCGCCCAGAGTACACGTTGAGATCTCGGTCGTCCCGAGCCTGCTGGCACTGCAACGCGAACTCCTGGCGGACGCGCTCGCGCTCCCAGCGCAGGGCGCCTTCGTCTACCTGCCGCTGCTCGCTCCGGTGCGGCGACTCCAGCCACCTGTGCCGGTCCAGATCGCCGTGGAACGCGCGCGACTTCCGCCCGTGCCTCGGCGGAGGGCCCGCTGACACAACGGCGGCTCCATTCGGGGGCGGCCAAGAGGGGGGGCCGCAGATTATGGCCAGCGGCACGTGCGCGGCCCAGGGGGGGGCGGGGACGTAATGAAATGGGAAGAGGCGCCATGAAATCTGGGGAGGCATCATGGCCCCCGCAATGAGATCCCCCCCCCAGTCATCACCCCCTCTCTGCCGCCCCCGATCCATCGGGGGTCCGAAAACGGTGTGGTGACAGACCGCGCGGTAGTCCTCGAAGCTCTCAAAGACCTCACCGCACACGGTCCGTCACCGCACCGCCTGGTTTGGGTCGGGCATGTCCCAGCAAAGGCGGATTCTGGGCGAGAGATTGCAAAGACCCCCGACAGATGCCCCCCAGAATAGCCCACGAAGATCTTGAGACTGGTGCCCAAACGACCTCTTGGACTACTCTTGACTGCTCCTCTTGAGCAGGGACCGACCGTCCCGGCAATCCTATAGCATACCACGAAATGTTCTTAGAACCCCAAAAATGTTCTAATCACAGACACAATATTCTTAGAACATGATCCCGATGTGTGTACACAAGACAGACTCCGCCAGAAATGTTCCTAGAACATCTCGTGGGATCCACACCAAGGTTCTTAGAACATTGTTTGGTGGGTTGGCGGCGCGCACAAGGGGGTGGGGGGAGGGGGGGGGCTTCTTAGAAGCAGGCTGCTTCTTCGAAGGCGCCGGCCTTACATCTATATCGGGGATGGACAGACCCCCCTTTAGTAAAACGTGGTTTAGTGAAAACGACCTGAGGCCCAAACCTGGCGGGCGTAAGCCTGCAAAATAACGGCCACGGCACCATCTCGAGAACCGAAAACGGACAATTGACTAATCGACGTGTCACTGTTGGGGGTTCTGTCCACCCCCGACTATAGAGAAAGCCCGCGCCTTCTAAGAAGCAGGGGCGCTTCTGGGAAGCCCTCCCCCCTCCCCCCACCCCCCCCTCTGCGCGTGGCTGCCTCCCCCCTGGGGGTGCGCTCCGCCCAGCACCTCGAGGCGAGGCCGGCCGTGGCCGCGGGGGGGCCCCCCGGGGGAGGCGCGCCGAGGCGGCGACGCCGCGGGCCCGAGACCCGACGCCGCGAGAAGCGAGTCGCGGCCGGACAGTCTTTTGATCTGCGGGGCGATCAGCGCCCCACAAACGGGGACTCCACTAACGGGTACTTTGGCCAGTGACCCAGCGAACCCAACCCTTCCCGATGCGGGCAACGCTGCATTGCCAGAACGAGGCCCTAAAGTGGCAACTTTCGGCAAAATTTCAAAGTACCCGTTAGTAAGTACCCGTTAAGGTGCCGTTGAGGCGAGAGCGGACCTCTTCCGCTGAAAGCTAAGCGGGACGCGCACAGCTCTGATCAGCAGAGAAGGGGGCGGAAGAAGGCGGGGGCCTCACGGCGGCCGGGAGAGGGCGAAGGCCTGGGATCAGGCGGTGCCGAAGGTGATGTGCGGGAAAGTCACGGCCGGACAGTCGACCATGATGGCAAGGACGGGGCAACTTTCCGAGGGTACCGTTGCATCCCTGCCTCCTCAGTCCATCCTCGGCCACTTTCGTTGGCCGCGCCCCGCTCGAGGAGCTTCGAGATGGGCGTCCAAGGCCCTCGTATCCTTCTCGCGCGTCCTTACTGTGCTGGTTGACTGTCGCCCTCGGCCCCATCCTGCCCCGGCACCCTCAACACCGGATCGATCCGTGAGGCTCAGGGGCCCGGAGCAGGGCGAAGACGCTCGGCGCGGACACAGGCCGCAACGCCCGGGTCTCGGGGTGGCGATATCGGCACCGCCGCCAGTGAAGGGGCGCCAGGACACACAAATAAATACACACAAATAAAAGGATTGCCCATATTTTCCTATATTTTCTGGGTTTCTGTCTTCCCCCCCACTTCCCATATTTTCCCATATTTTCTGGGAATCGCCGATGAATTGTGTCTGTGTGTTTCTTCCCCTCCTGACCACAGTCGAGTCGGAACGTCGAATCGGCCCGCACGTTGAGGCGTGAAAGGATGCCACGTACTGTCTGGCAGGGTCTCTGCAGTCTCTGGAGGGTCTTCGGTGGCACTCCCAACGGGCCCGGTCGCATGCGTAACCCGCACTCCCGAGGCCACAGCCCTTCAGAAAATGCGACAGATTCGCGCCCCCGAGGCCCAGATGCCTCCCGGACGGCCTGATATCGCTCCAAGACGGGCCGCTTTGGCCTCAAGACTGTCCAAGATGGCGGCAAGGCGGCCAGCGATGCCGGCGAGGCGCCCCCAAAAGAACCCAAGACTGCCCAAGAGGGCCCCGAGACGGCCTCGAAAAGGGCCCAAGGATGGGAACACGAACCAGGAAGACGAGCCTCCTGCCCCGAGAAGCCCCCTTGCCCTCCTGAGGAGTTGCAACCCAAGGACCCAGAATGCCGCGCTGGCACGGTGGTGGAATTGCGGGAGGCAGCTGGATACATCAAATCGGCAAGAATCGGCGGGCAGATCAGAAGGCATCAGAATCGACGTCCGCCGACCCAAGCCAGAACATGCGCGAAAAAATCTAAAACTGTGAGTCGAAATCCAGAGTCCAATCGACTCGACGTCGGAGTCCTAGAATTCAAATTCTTTCGAATCGGCAAGATCATACTGGCTTCTGGAGGTCGTTTCCCTCAGATCGTCCGGTACGGGGGAGGAGGGGGGAAGGAGGACCTGCGAGCGCCACAGCATGCTTGTGAGCACCAAAGCCTGCCTGTCAGCACCACAGCATGCCTGTGAACACCGCGCCATGCCCGAAGGGAAACAAGAACCCCCGCGCGTACGTGCGGTATCGTTACGGGGAGGGGGTGGGATGCGACCCCCCATACGGACGTCACGGCTTCACCGAATAAAGATATAGATCCTGCTCCTCCTCCTCCTCCTCCTCCTCCGACGTGTCCCTCCGATTCCAATCAACGCAAATCGACGCTAGATCGACGCTATTCGACGCCAATCGGCGCAAATCAACGCTAATCTGCGCTACTCAATCAACGCTTTCGCATCGACTACCAGACGCTAACGCACGCCAGTGCACTCCAGAGACGGGGCCCCGAGGACGTACCAGATTAGCCTCGATCCGCTCGTCGATTGGCCACGACGGCGCTAGTGCACTCGAGACGACGCGTCCATGATCTGCGACCAGTTCCGAATTCTCCACCTCCGACGTGCCTCCCAAGAGACCCCCAAGAGGCCCCAAGAAGCTCTCCGAGGCACTCAAGACGCTCTAAGCGGCGTCCGGGACCGCCGAGAGGCCCCCGAGACCGCTCCCAAGAGGCCTCCACAGGGGGGACCCTTCCCCTGCGTACTGCCCACTTCCCTGATCGAGGCAACTCCTCTGGGCACCGTTCCTGGACGGGCTGGTGTGATGGGCCTGCTTTCCTCCACCACCACCACCACCACCGTAAGCACCCTAAGTTGGAGGAGGGGAAGGAGGTGGAGGACGAGGAGGAGGAGGAGGACGGAGGAGGAGGAGGAGGAGGAGGAGGAGGAGGAGGAGGAGGAGGAGGAGGAGGAGGAGGAGGAGGAGGAGGACCCCCTCGCCCCTCCAGCTTATGGTGGTGGCTGTGGAAAACAGGCCCATCATGGTGGGGTTACGCGAGGCGCCTAGAACTCTCCACCACCCGACGTGCCTCCCCAGCTCCCGCAAGACCTCCATCGCCAGCGCCGGCCTTCCGTGCAGGTCCTCCGGGCGCAGCAGCCTCACCGCGCAGCCCTCGCCCCGCCGGCCCCGCGCGCCAGCCGCCCGCACGGGCGCTTCGGCCATCGGGCCCGCGGCGCGCGCAGCTCAGCGGCCACCCAAAGATCCGAGGCTACGGAGACGCTGAAGCGCCGTTGTCGTCGCGTCGTCGTCGCGTCGTCGTCGCGTCGTCGTCGTCGTCGTCGTCGTCGTCGTCGTCGTCGTCGTCGCGTCGTCGTCGTCGCCGTCGTCGGTGGCGGCGGCTTGGTCGTCGTCGTCGTCGTCGTCGTCGTCGTCGTCGTCGTCGTCGTGGTACGTCGTTGTCGTCGGCAGGTCGTCGTCATCGTAGTCGTAGTCGTCGTCGGCGTCGTCGTCGTCGGCGTCGTCGGCGTCATCGTCGGCGTCGTCATCGTCGTCGACGTCGTCGTCGCCATCCGAAACTCCGAAAAAAATAGGAGCGGCCGGTTTGGGGCCGGTTTCGGCCTCCGGGGGCCCTCAGCAGCCCCGGGGCCGTCAAACAACGACTCGGGATGAGACACGCGGCCTCAATCTGCAACTGGACTTGGGCCGCGGCTCCACCATCAGGGACAGCTGATGGGGGATATAAGCTGGCCCCTCCCCGCTAGGCCCCCAAGTGGCCCAGCGACGAGTAGCAGCAACAGTGTGGACAGACGCTGGGATCGTCTCGCCTCGCCCCTCCGCCCCCCCTGCTCAAAATCGTGGGGCTGGCAACCTTGAGGCCGAGGCGCTGCCGTGCACGCTGGGAGGCGCACGTCCGCCTTCTTGGGCCCGTCGCACAAGCGGCGGCGCACGTGGCGCGTGGCGCGAAACCCACATGCAAGCAGTCGGAAATACGTTGAAACATGAAGTAGGAAGGCGGACAAAGTAGATTGGGTCCAGGCCCGCCCAAATAATAACAACTCACAACACAAACACACCGATACTTGAAATAGGAAGGCACTTGAAATACACTGGGATCCGGGTATCCCCAAATACCTACTTTCAACAACCGGCGTGTACCCCTGCAGATCAAACCATATTTCCGCAAGGCCAGCTGGGTTGAGGATTCGCAGGATGCCTGCAGCCAAGCGAACCCCAGCGGGGGTGTGAGACGCCCCAACGGCGATGGGACCCCTCGGGGTAGGGTCCGCTATGGGTCGCAGATAAGCTGAGCGGAGCTGTCCGTCGAAAACACACATATGTTTAACGACCGACGGGTGCCTCGAGACTAAACTGCTCGAGGTGGGCCCAAGTCCCCGAAGAGCTCCTCTGCCCCCTCATAGGCGGGCACAATGTCCAAGCGGTGACTGCACCTGCAGAACGGTATCTGCACTTGCTCTGACATTCTGCTAGGAGTCAGAACAGATAGTTCACACCACAACACACCACAACTCGAATTTGCGAGAGCCTGGAGCGCTGGTCGTACCCAGCCAGGTGCAGACATTGCCCTGGATATCGCCACCCAGGGCCATGAGTCCTCAAGCCAGGTCCTGTGCACTCAAAATATGGCGCATCGACTCGTGATGGGACTCGAACCTGAACGGGCCACCACAGCACAAAGAGGCCAATCGGTCCCACGACGTCCACATCTCGATTGAGGTAGAAGACAAAAGTGGGCAAGCGCATCAAATCCAGCCTGTCACACGCCTGTCTGCATAGGAGGACAAGCAAGACACCCTACGCGCGACCTTGACCTTCCTTGACATGTCCTACATGAGAGGGCCCCCTGAAAGTACCTTCTACACTCTTTCAAGCACGGTTAAGAATTTTCTGTGTAATATTATTCAACGTGAGTAACATCAAAAAAAGCCCAACAACCCCTGACTGCTTACCGAAACTAGAATGGTATCCTGCCAAACTCGTCACTGTATTACTATCGCTCCATCAGGTGCTGGCATGGCTGGCTTGGTTCGGTCTGGTCAACGCGGCCCAGAAGGAGGGCTCGCAAGCCCCAAGAGAACCCCAGAAGCGCGCCAGCAAGGATTCCAAAGACGATTTACGGTGGCGGGGTTGCCAGAAGCAGCTGGATACGTCTCGCCTGACGGCTATCAATTCCATGCGCCTAAAAGCTCAAGCATGGTCGGCGGCCCAAAAAACAGCAAATATTGGATGAGGTAAACTTGCCGACGCGATCCAGAGCGCGTGCCTATCTTGGCGTTGCTTGGCGCTGCTTAACAATGCTTCGCATTGCTTGCCGTTGCCAGGCGTTGGCATTGCTTGCCGTTGCTGAGCAGTTCTTTGCATGTATTGGCATTCGTGCGTTGCTTGAAGTTGCGTTGGATTGCTCGGCGTTGCTTTGAGTTGCTGGGTGTTACTTGGCATTGGTTCGCGCTGCTTTGCATGGCTCGGGAAAAACAAGCAAACCAGGGAATGCAATAAGGAGCCAAGACCGAGCGGCCCGAGGAAGGCCCAACGCCCCTGGAAGGCGTCTTACAATAGGAGCTCGATCACAAGACACCGTCCGCAAGAAATCCATTCCTGCGACCCCCGGACGTCCATCGATTTCTGGTGTGGGAACGTCGCGCCTTTCATATCAAGGCAATCGCAACCAAAGAAACCCAGGGCACCCTGGAGGCAAGCAGGGTGGTTCTTAGCATGGGTTCCCACTGTAGAACATAAAAAAAACAATACCGAAACAGTCGTCGAGAAATGCCTCTTCAGAGACAGAAGAGAAACGAGCCCATGCGACCCGAGAAGCGCACAATGAGGAAACCATGCCCGGGAGCCCGAGGGAAGGCCCAACCGAAACCGAGACAACAGACGAGACCAAGCGACCCGAGGAACGCCGCTGGGCGGGCGCTCCGAACATCCGCCACCGTGCCTCACGGGGAACGGAGTGGGCGCGTCCTCGGGTCCTTTGCCTGATCCTCTTTCGGGAGCGGCCAAGAGGGGGGTGTCCAAGAGGGGGGGGGTGCACATCATGACCGGCGGCATGTGCGCGGCCAAGCGGGGGGGCCAGGGACGTATTGAAATGAGAAGAGGCGCCATGCAATCTGGGGAAATCTCATGGCCCCCGCCATGATATCCCCCCCCCCCCCTAATCATCACCCCCCTCTTTGCCGCCCCCGACTCTTAGCCCCCACCCTCATTCCGGAAGAACCGCGAACGGGCCCGGATCCACATGCCGAAATCTCGTGAGGCTTCCCTCGTGCTCTCACGGGGCTTCCCGCTTGCCCCCCTGGCTTTGCCAAGTGGTGGCGCGTGACTTGTTCGGGCCCAAGGGGGCCCCAAGACGGGCCATGAGTAGAAGGGCCCCGGGACACACAAAAAAACACAAATAACAGGATCCCCCATACTTTCTGATATTGTTTGATTTTCGTCTCCACCCAACTTCACATATTTTCCTGGGGATCGACGATTAATTGTGTCTGTGTGTCTTTTCCGCTCCTGAACTTCCAAAATGGCCCCCCTCTGCGCGTGGCTGAAACACCCCATTTGGCCTCCAAGAATCTTTCCAAGAAGGCCCTACGAGCAAATACTCATTGACATGCCTGAGTTTTTGCCAAATTTTGGCGTTGTCGCTCTTTCGGCTTCCCGACGGTCCCAGACGGCCCTATGAGCCCCCCAGGCCGCCGCAAGACGGCCTAAGAGGCGCCTGAATCGTCACAAGAGGGCCCGAAGACAATCCAACAAGAAGCCCAAGAGAGGGAAAACGGACCGAAAATCCGAACCTTCCGCCCCCAAGAAACCACCAGGAGGCCCCAAGATGCGCCCAGGAGGCTCCGAGAGGCCCCCAACAGGCCCCCAAGAGGCCCGCAAGAGGTCCAAAGAGGCCCACAAACTGTCCCAAGAGGCCTTCAAACTGCCTTCGGGAGGCCCCCTACGAGATCCCAGCGAACGTCCAATAGGCTTCGCACCCACAATCCAGGCACGGTGGCGGCATGGGCCGAAGTCCACGCAGGCAAGCAACCTGAGGAACGCCTCTTCAACACCAAGGGAGAAACAAGACCAAACAACCCGAGGAACGCACACATGGAAACAAGACAAAGGAGACCCGAACAACGCTGGCCGGCGAAGGCCTTGCACCGACTGGCACCTATACAAAGCTTAACCCCACCAGCCCTCTGGGCGCACGTGTTTTGGGAAAGTTGAGTCTTCTCTCACAGCCCAAACCCTTCTTTCCCCTGGTCGGGGGAAGGGTTCCCCCCCCCCCCCCCGGGTCTGGACGGGTCTCGCGAGGAACTGGAACGCCCGAGATCGCCCAGGATGGCTCCAAAAGTACCTCAGGGAGCGCAAGATGACTGCTCAGTCTTCTTTTTCAGTAGTGAAGTATGATACCTCATGGTCGCGACTAGGGGGTGCGAGGCATGCAACGGCAGGGTTCATCGTTCGCCCAAATGAATGGAATAAAAAGAAAGAGAAGGGTGCAGGCCAAGAGCACACGATGCACGCCAAGTCCAGGTTGCCATGGGCGGGAAAGCTCGAGCACCAGCAGCTTCGGGATAGGGCTGCTGTTGGGCGGCAACAAGGCAAAGCAACCAGAGCATACTCGTGCAACGCACATTCATGTTCAGTCTTCTTTTTCTGTGGTGAAGTCTAATACCTCGCGGTCGCGACCAGAGATCGAGGCCTGCAACGGCAGGGCTCGTCGTCAATTTGTTGAGCGAAGCCGAAGTTCCCAACGTAGCGGCCCAGACAATTTTGCGGGGGCGGAAATGGCGAACCTGGGGATCACGGAGTCAGCAGCATATTCTCTCATCACAGGTCCAACAACGATCTGTACAGACACAGCGATACTCGAGAGGGATAATTTGCAGCCCGCGAAGTCATCGCCTGTCCTTCGAGAGCGACGTGCTTATGCCCAAGGCTGAAAGAACAGCAACCGTCCTCCCAACGACATTTCCAGCGGCCCTGGTGTAGAAGCGCCAAACTGCCAGGTTCGGCCACGTAGCCAACATCAATCCGGGTCGCTTTCCTCCACCTCGCTCTAAAGGAACAACGATGCACATCTGTCACTCGACAGCGAGGCACCACGTAAGAGACCACATCTCGGCATCGCCACATATGCGAGGCCAAAGGATTCTCTGAGGCAAAAGGCACCCCGCACATGCGACGCAGTCTCGCAATGAAAACAGCCACCCTCGTGCGCAGATTTCCGACGCGCACCGCGTCTCTCTCTGGCCCGCAACGACGGC